CAGTGTACAGAAGAGGCGCTGGGGTGCCCCTGCCGGCCCACTGAGAGGTGAGACCGGGCCAGACGGCTCGCAGGACACCCAGGTGTGCTTCTGCCCTCACAGACCCGTGTGACCGCGGGATGACAGGCGCAGACGAAGCCCCGGCTCTGCCCACCGGCAGCAGCGAGACAGCACCCTGCGCGCACATCCGCACTCCCTCGGTTTAACAAGCGTCTGCTCACGCAGTTGCGTCACCTTCAAAGCCGGTTACCAGAGTAAGTGTGGGGGTACAAAACCACACAAAGGGGGGGGTCCCGGTCCGTCCTGACCCTACCCCTCCTGCACGGACCCCCCCACAAAACCCACGCCCGTGACAGACCCCTCCTGCAGGCGCAGCCGGGAAACACGCGATGTGTTTTTAACGGATTTTATAGTAACGTGATCGCGCCGGCGCCACTACTTCATGAACTGAGCCAGGCGGATGGTTCCGGCCAGGGAAAACGGTACCTCATTGAAACCTTCCTGAAGCACATCCAGCAGATTCCCGCGGGACAGCGACGCGATCATCCCGGCGCGGTGCCCCGGGCTGCCTTCGGGAAAACGTGCGGACCCCGGGAGAGTTTGCGACGGCTGCGCCGGACACAAAGGAGAGGCTCCAACCAGCCCGTCCCCTCTCTTAGTTACTGCCCAGAAACTGTGGATTTATCCTGCCGGGCAGAAACCCTTCACTTCCCAGGCCAGATCACACACAGGAGACGGACAGGGGCCAGCTGCAGGCAGGAGCCCGAGCCCCCCTCTCTTAGCGATCGAAGATCCGGGTCCTCGGACAGCCGATCTCACCCCAAGGCCTGGCAGATTCGTGCCACACGGGGACCAGGGGAGCCTCCAGGGCGGCGCTCTTGCAGAAAAGCGTGACTTCTGGTCTCGCAGCTGGGCACGGGCTGATCCACTCTCCGCGTCCTGAGCGCTGGCTTCCAGCCCCTCCCTCCGCCGGCGTCCGACGTCTCCCTCTGACCTGGAACGGTGCTGCTGCCAGACGTCCCCTCAGCGGGCCCCTGGGGGTGCTATTTCACCTGAAGCTGTCTTGGGCTTCCCGTCACTCAGACACGCCGAACACCGCCACGCTTCCCAGCCTGACTCCAGCTGAACCCTGGGAGAGCCAACTCCACCCCCCGACGCCAAGGGAGACGGCCGAGCTGGGGATGGGGGGACCCCGATAGGGGGGGTAATAATAATTATAATAATTCATAACTCCTTAAACTTATATAGCACTTTCCTGGACCCTCCACTCAGAGCTCTTTACAGGTCATGGGGATCCCCTCCACCCCCACCAGTGTGTACCCCCACCAGGATGATGCTCCAGTCCTCTCCCAGCTCTCAGTGGGGAGGAGAGCAGAGCGATGAGGCCAGTTCAGAGACTGGGGTTATTAGGAGGCCATGATGGGTAAAGGCCAGGGGGAGATTTGCCAGGACACTGGGGTAACACTCTTCGAGAAACACCCCGGGATTGTTAATGACCACAGAGAGTCAGGATTCTGTTTTACGTCTCATCCGAAAGGACGGTGCCTTTTTACAGTACAGTGTCCCCATCACTGTACTGGGGCATTAGGACCCACACAGACCGCAGGGTGAGCGACCCCTACTGGTCCCACTAACACCTCTTCCAGCAGCAGCCTCAGCTCTCCCAGGAGTCTCCC